CCTTGCTTAATTAGATTCCCGTGTGAACTGAACTTGTGTTTATGGTATGAGCCGTTGGAGTTCTCAGGCTGCTTCGCGCCTTTTCTAATCAACTCCCTTGCGAGGGAGTTTAGCCCATTGGGTTAACCAAGTTTGAAGTTCCTATATTATACTGCCCCTGTGCATTCCCTTCCCCCGGAATATCATGATTTAGCCGAGGTGTTTGGAGAAATTGAAGCCGATGAACTGCCCCCCCACCGTAATTCCGATTGCAGCATTGAGTTACTTCCGGGCTGCAAACTGCCGAAAGGGAAAATCTATGCAATGGGCCCCGCAGAGAAAGCTGAACTGCGGAAGTTCATTGACAAGAATTTGGCACGAGGTTTCATCCGCCCGGCATCCTCTCCCTTTGCGGCTCCAGTGTTGTTTCGGAAAAAGAAGGATGGGGGGCTACGCTTATGTACGGATTACAGGGGATTGAATGCGGTATCTACCACCAATGCATACCCCCTCCCCTTGATTAAAGACCTTGTTGCTGAAGCTACTAAGGGTAAAATCTTCTCCAAACTTGATCTACGGGATGCATACTTCCGCGTGCGCATCCGGGAGGGTGATGAGGGGAAGACTGCTTTCAACACACCCCTTGGCCAATTTGAGTACCTTGTTATGCCCTTCGGTCTTCAAGGGGCTCCTGGGGTCTTCATGAACTTAATTAACGAGGTCTTACATGAGTTCCTGTTCAAAGGGGTCGTTATTTACCTTGATGATGTGTTACTGTACTCTCAGGACCTTCCTTCTCATGTCAAACTGGTCAGAAAGGTCCTTAAGACGTTACTTAATCACAAACTGTTTGTTAAGCTTTCTAAATGTGCGTTTCACCAATCACACATCGACTTTTTGGGCTACCGCATCTCGGGAGGGGGGCTGGAAATGGACCCGGAGAAGGTTAAAGCTGTTCTGGACTGGGATCCCCCTAAGACCCGTCGCCAACTTCAAGGGTTCTTAGGATTTGCCAATTTTTACAGATTCTTTATCAAAGGGTTCGCTCAAATTGCCTTGCCTCTCACTGACTTGTTGAAAACTAAAGGGAAGGGTTTTGACGCTACTAAACCCGGGGCCCCCCTTAAATGGTCTCCGGAATGCGACAAAGCTTTTTGCAAACTGAAAACGATGTTTACGTCTGAGCCAGTCCTTGCTCACCCTGATGAGTCAAAAAAATTCATTGTGCAAACAGATGCTTCTGATGTGGCTATGGGGGCGGCGATCCTCCAGCAGGGTGAGGATGGCCAGCTGCACCCTCTGGCTTATGTGTCCCGTAAATTTACTGATGCTGAACGACACTGGTCCATTTGGGAAAAGGAAGCGTCGGCCATAAAATTGGCGCTGTCGACATGGCGTCATTGGTTAGAAGGGGCTAGGGTTCCTTTCGAAGTTTGGACTGATCACAAGAACCTAGAGACTTTAAAGTCCCCTCGGATGCTTAATGCTAAACAACTCCGGTGGGCTGACTTCTTTGCTAAGTTCCAGTTCACGCTCCACCATTTTCCCGGGTCTTCCAACTCGCTGGCTGATGCTTTGTCACGCCTCCCTCAGCACGACAGCCAATCGGAGGTAGTTATTGACTCCGTTTTCACTCCAAAGCAACTGGGAGGGGCGGTGGTTACGCGCGCTCAGGCTAGGAAGCTTCCCGCGCATCTGAGTTCTTCGGCGGCCGCAAGTCCACCCCCCCCTCCTGCGGGGGATTGGAAAGCTAAATACCGTTCTGCCTTCTCCAGTGAGGATGAGACTGTGATTCGTGCCTTTCCTGACTGTGTGCGCGACCCCGAGGGAGACTGACGGGCAAACAGAACGTCTTAATCAAACCTTGGAACAATATTTGCGTTGTTTCACAAACTATCAACAATCTGATTGGTGTGACTTGCTCCCCTTAGCAGAATATTGTTATAACAATACGGTTCATTCTTCCATTGGTATGTCTCCTTTTAAAGCTGTATTTGGATACGATAGCCCTCCTCTCCCTTTTCTTGACAGGTCGGGGGATGACTCCAAACCCCATTCTGATGCGGACTCGTGGTGCCAGTCTTTACAATCAGCTTGGCCTCTACTGTGTCACACTCTTGATTTGGCTAAAGAAAAATATAAAGTGCAAGCTGATAAACATAGGGCCAAAGAATGGGATATAAAACCTGGTGATTTGGTTTATGTTTCCACAAAAAACATTAAAATGTTACGTCCCAGTAAAAAACTGGGTTGGAAATACATTGGTCCATTCAAGGTTCGCAAAGTGTTGAATGGTGTGGCTGTTGATGTACTTTTGCCTAAAAACTTACAATCTTTACATTCTGTATTCCATGTCAGTTTGTTGAAAAAGGATACTGGTCAATGTCAATGGAGAGACAGCAATGTTCAACCACCTCCTGTTTTGGTGGACGGCCAGGAACATTATGAAATTTCTGGCATTCTGGATTCCCGGCTCAAACGTGGTAAACTGTGGTATCTTGTGGAATGGGTTGATTTCGGTCCCCAGCACCGCGAATGGGTGGAAGAAGGGGATATTCGGGCCCCTTATCATGTTCGGGCATTTCACAAGAAGTTCCCGGGCAAACCTGGAGGTCTCCCGGGCAAACCGGGAGATCTCCCGCCCAGGCCGGGAGACGGTGGGTGAGTGGTATTTTTGGGTGGGCAGTATGTCAGCGAGCTGCCATTTCTCTGGGATGTGTCCCTCTTCCCTCCCTCCCCGTGTTATTCTCTTCTGGTATGCGACTGTAACTGCCAAGCTTCTCCTACAGGTGGACGATGGAGTGTTATGTCTTCTTGCCTTGCTTAATTAGATTCCCGTGTGAACTGAACTTGTGTTTATGGTATGAGCCGTTGGAGTTCTCAGGCTGCTTCGCGCCTTTTCTAATCAACTCCCTTGCGAGGGAGTTTAGCCCATTGGGTTAACCAAGTTTGAAGTTCCTATATTATACTGCCCCTGTGTATTGTAGTCATTCTGGACAATTCTCTGTATGTTCATGATCAACCATGCTTTGGAAATAAATCTTACTTCTTTGGAACGTGGGTTTGTTCTCCTGCTTTGGGGGTCTGACATTGTACTAGTTCCCGACCCCACCCTCCTTTTTATTTGCTTGGGCAAGGAGTACCAAAATGACGTCATCTGCCTGCTGTGCCAGTTCAGTGAAGTCAGCCACTCCAATTCTTGTTAGAACAGCAGCAGTAGTTGTAGAGAGATTAACCCAAAAAGCTCATTTTTATCAGGTTTGCAGCTCGTAGTAGCTAGGCAGCAGAGAGGGTTTATTGCAGCCTCCCAACAACCCTGCAAGGTGGGCAGGGCCATGGAAAGAACTCTGGAGTGAGCCTGACAGTCTGCATCAAACTATCATGTTGCATGGTGGAATTCTGCTTTAAAGAATTGTTGTGTGAGGTTATAAGTAGTAATATGTCAAATAAGTGTTGGAAATGTAAGAAAATAGAGGGTTCATTTTACCATATGTGGTGGACATGTGACAAAGCAAAAAAATTTTGTGCTGAGGTGGAGAAAATTATGAAATGTAAATTTATAAAGGAACCTGAAATTCTACTTCTGGGACTTAAAATGGAAGAAGTCAACATGGCAAAACGGACTTTGATGTGGTATATGATTACAACTGTGAGAATGACATATGCTCAATACTGGAAACAGGAAAGAACTCCTGAAATTTGGGAGTGGCTAAAAAAGCTAATCTTTATGGCTGAAATGGACAAAATGACAAGAAAACTTAAGAACCAAGAAGCAGAAGAATTTTTTGCAGACTGGAAAGACTTTAAAGAATACTTAGAGAAATATTGGGATGTAAAAAACAACTTACTTTGCTTTGAGAATTATTGAAAAAAGAATGTTATTGTGGATAACTTTAAAATTATAAGAACTATAGTTAAAAGAAAAGTTACCTGTAGAGTTTGATCAATGAGTAAGGGGAAAAGAGGGGTACACAAAATATGGGCTGGAGGTTGGAGCACTGTGGGAAGTCAGAAGGGGTGGGTAGTTAGGAGAAAAGGATATATGACAATTTGTAAGGTGATGTATAATGTGATTTATTGATATATCCTAATAAAATTGTTTTTTTAAAAAAAAAAAAAAGAATTGTGTGAGGGAAGGGGAACACACACACACACCAGCACCAGACTGGGAAGCCAAAGTACAACTGGAGTGTAAGTAACCTGGGAAAAGAAGAAGAGAATGGACCAGCTGAGGGGGTGGGTGTATGGAGGCCATGGGAAATGGAGCAGGTGGATAGTAGCTGAGGGGTCTCCACTCCTCCCATTTTTTCTGTGTGTGGGGGGGGGCAGAGACGGTTTGTTTGGAGTAGTCAACTGGTGTAACCAACAAATGTCCTGCCAAACGGATTTGTACATCTAGTTATCTGCATCAGCATTGCCTTTTAAAGGCTCCATCTAGTTGCTGCATCTCCTGCATCACTCCTATAAGCTCTACAAGCTTTGCAAGTTTGAGCTACCAAGCTCAAGTGCAGCAAGCTCACCCATTGTCCTTCCCCTTAGACATGGTGTGTTTCCATAGATCAGGCTTAGAGCCTTCAAAATACAATAACTACATAAAAATAAAAAGAGTACACAGGGTATGTTCAAGCATCAGGGTGAGCAATGATACAAAGAAAAAGTGTGTGGGGGAACCCACTTTCACCCTACGCTCAGAATGTGTCCTAAACAATGGGCTTTTCTGCATTCTCATTTTCATTGCCTGTACGTTCCTGCAGGTTTTTTTGTTAGACATAAACAGGTGTAATCAGGCACTAGAGAGAGCAAAATGGGTGTGGAACAGGAACAACCCCTCCCCCCGGGAAACAGGAACATACAAGCAAGGAAAATGAGAAATGTGGAAAGGCCCAATGTCAAGTAGGGTAGGTTAGCAATTCTTGAAACCACAGAATTTAGAAATCCATCATTACATTAGAGACTGGAGAGAGCTGTTTCCACCACTTCTCCCTGCTTCCTTAACCTGCTGCTTCTGAAATCCCCTCCGCAGAACCTGTTCTGCTGGAGCAGTATATAATAAAGTGAACTGCTGGACTTGCTAGCAGTGGACTCTTCAGCCTGTTAATCATGCAGTTGGGATACCGTCTCCTCCTCCTGGGGCTCCTTGCTTTCTGGGCTGAGCTGACTCTGATCTCTGCTCAGAAACGTCCAGGTAAGAGACTCCTTCTTCTCCCTCTGGCCAGGCATCCCCTGCTTGCAGTCCCTAGAGTACAATCACCCCTGAGGGCTGGTAGAGAGCCAGGTGTAATTCCAGCTATAATCTCACCCCATGCAGCTCCTTTAGTTCTATGGACAAATTCCCAAACTTCCTTTGCATCTATATACAACTCTTCACCCCCAATCCTTCTCTAGATACAGAAACATATAAGACATTGTGCTCTGGGGCTAGCAAGCACTGCATCTCACAGGTCGCGATGGGGGAGCTGGAGTGCTTGGTGTTCAATGACAATTTAGATATAGTAGGTATCTCAGAAACATGGTGGAACGGGGGGAAATCTATGGGATACAGTCATTCTTGGGCATAAGCTCTATAGGAAGGACAGGGAGGGACAGGTTGGGAGCAGTGTTCCCTCTAAGCTGAGTTAGTGTGAGCCAGCTCACAGTTTTTTAGCCTTCGGCTCACACATTTTTGTCTCAACTCAGGAAGGATGTGGTTCCAGAGCAACTAATTCATGCAGTAGCGCCAAATTGCTCGTTCACAACTTTAATGCCAGCAGCTCACAAAGTAGAATTCTTGCTCACAAGACTCCTCAGCTTAGAGGGAGTATTGGTAGGGAGAAGTGTTGCGTTGTACATCAAAAAGGCCATAGAATCCAATAAGTTAGGAAACATCAGGGGAATTAACTCCCATTTTTGTCTCAACTCAGGAAGGATGTGGTTCCAGAGCAACTAATTCATGCAGTAGCGCCAAATTGCTCGTTCACAACTTTAATGCCAGCAGCTCACAAAGTAGAATTCTTGCTCACAAGACTCCTCAGCTTAGAGGGAGTATTGGTAGGGAGAAGTGTTGCGTTGTACATCAAAAAGGCCATAGAATCCAATAAGTTAGGAAACATCAGGGGAATTAACTCCTCTTGAGATACAGAAGGAAATAAGGGAGGTGACTAAAACAGATAATGTTATTATACTGGGAGACTTCATTGACTAACATTACCCTTACATTGACTGGATAAATGTGTGTTCAAGTCATGCTGCAGAAAAGAGATTCCTAGACATCATAATTGCTCTGGCAAAAGAAATGTAAGTCAATAATTAGGCATGGAAAAAGACTTTGAAGAGCAGGTTGCTAAAGCATTAAGACAAACAGTAAACATCTTTTTAAATATATCTGGAGCAGGAAACCAGTCAGAGAAGCAGTGGGGCCTTTGGATGACAAAGGAATAAAGGAAAATGGGGAGATGACAGAGAAGCTCAATTACTTTTTTTGCTTCGGTGTTCACTGTGGAAGGTGTGGGGCAGGTACCCATGCCACAGCCCCTATATTCAGGAAGGGAGTCTGAAGAACTGAGCCAAACCGAGGTGACCAGAGATGAAACTGTAGACCTACTGGGGAAATCAGAAACCAATAAGTCTCCAGGTCCTGATGGCATACACCCAACAGTTCTTAAGGAATTCACTCCAATGTGAGATAGTTGACCTACTAACCCGTATATGTAACTTATCGCTAAATTCAGCCGCTGTACCAGAAGACTGGAGAACAGCAAATGTTAGACGAATTATTAAAAAGGGAAGGAAGGGAGTCTGAAGAACTGAGCCAAACCGAGGTGACCAGAGATGAAACTGTAGACCTACTGGGGAAATCAGAAACCAATAAGTCTCCAGGTCCTGATGGCATACACCCAACAGTTCTTAAGGAATTCACTCCAATGTGAGATAGTTGACCTACTAACCCGTATATGTAACTTATCGCTAAATTCAGCCGCTGTACCAGAAGACTGGAGAACAGCAAATGTTAGACGAATTATTAAAAAGGGAACCAGAGGGGAACCAGAAAATTACAGGCCAGTCAGCCTAACATCTGTTATGTTCTCTCCCGTTCTTATAACACATGGAATTCACTGCCACAGGAGGTGGTGGCAGCTACAAGCATGGACAGCTTCAAGAGGGAATTAGATAAGCATATGGAGCAGAAGTTCATCAGTGGCTATTAGCTGCAAGGTATAGATAGGAACTCTCAGTCTGGCGCAAGGGATGCTCTGTATTCTTAGTGCTTGAGGGGGGGCAACAGTGGGAGGGCTTCTAGTGTCCTGGCCCCACTGCTGGACCTCCTGATGGCACCTGGTCTTTTTGGCCACTGTGTGACCCAGAGTGTTGGACTACATGGGCCATTGACTTGATCCAACACTGGCTACTCTTATGTTCTTATGTTCTTATGTCAAGTCTCAGGGGGCCCCCCCACCCTTCTTCTTGTGGAAAAGCACTGGAGCAGCAAAAGGGGAAGAAGAAGAAGAGACTCCCCAAGGGAGTCAGCTGTGCCAGAACTATAGCTTGCCCAAGGTCATCCAGCAGGTGCAAGTGGAGGAGCCGGGAATCAAACCCAGTTCTCCCAGGTTAGAGACCACGCACTTAACCATGACACCAAACTGGAAGTGGCTGGCTGGATGAATCCCCTATAAACTTTCTCAGTTCTTCCTTCTCTGCCTATAAACTTTCTCAGTTCTTCCTTCTCTGCTGGGCTTGTTGAATACAATTTCCCCTTGGGGAATTTATGGCCCAGAAGAATTTCAACAGCACAGTCAATGCTCCTATGGGGAGGGGGAGTTCATCAGCCTCCTTCTCTTCAAGCACCTTTGACAAGTCTCTGTACTCGGGAGGAATCTGGTTTAACTCTTCCCTGGTCAGGCACACCTGGTCAGGCTCCACGGAATGTAGGGATTGTGGGCTCTGAGCCAGGGCCCTCCCAACCAGCTGCGTGAGTGTGAGCTAGCTCACAGTTTTTTAGCCTCCGGCTCGCACATTCTTGCCTTAGCTCAGAGAGGACGACTCCAGAGCAAACTGATTCCTGCAGCAGACAAATCGCTGGCTCACAACGTCAATGCCAGCAGCTCACAGAGTAGAATTTTTGCTCACAAGTCTCCACAGCTTAGCGGGAGCATTGCTCCCAACACCACGGGGAACTCGGGACCATCGTATCTGTGGGACCACCTCTCCCTATAGACCCCTCAGAGAGGGTTACGCTCAACCGGTTCCAACTTGCTAGTTCTAATTTGATTGGATTTGATTTAATTAACATCCCTGGGGAGGGAGAGGCACAGTGGGTAAGTAGCTTAATTATTCTCCCTCCCCTCCCCACTTCCCTGCTAGCAAGGGAGGAGAGGGGAGGGAACCAGGAGAGCTTGTGCCGCGGTGCACCTGCCCAAAGGCCAGGTACTTCCCCAGGGAGAGAATCAAAGAATCATAGATTCATCGAATTGGAAGGGACCTCCGGGGTCATCTAGTCCAACTCCCTGCACAATGCAGGAAATTCACAAATGCCACCGCCTACCCCTCCAGAAACCCTGTCCCATGCCCAGAAACTATGCTTTTCAAACAATGAGACATCAACAAAATGTTTCCCCAGTGCAAGGTTACCCAAAAGGTAATTATAGGCTCCGATTACACGCAGAATTAGCTGCGCAAGAGGCACAAATGCCGGGCGGATTTTATGGGCGCGATCACACAGGAACATCTGGCAAGCGTCTCGCCCCTCCGAAGAAGCGGGGTTCAAAAAATACCTGGGGAAGTGCAGTAGCAAACAGGTTTGTGATGGGCCGCAGTCGAAAGTCCCCGTGGGATCGCACCGGCTCGCTCTCATTGCGTCAGTGATCCCTCGTTGAAGCGCACCGGAAACATGCGGCAAAGAAGTGCATCTTAAAGAACTTAAAGAACTTAAAGAGACGCCAATGTTGGATCAGGCCAAAGGCCCATCCAGTCCAACACTCTGTGTCACACAGTGGCCAGAAATACCAGGTGCCATCAGGAGGTCCACCAGTGGGGCCAGGACATTAGAAGCCCTCCCACTGTTGACCCCCCCCCAAGCACCAAGAAGACAGAGCATCACTTGCCCCAGAGCCCCTATCTATACCTTGTGGCTAATAGCCACTGATGGACCTCTGCTCCATATGCTTATCTAATTCCCTTTTGAAGCCGTCCATGCTTGTAGCATGGACGGCTTCAAAAGGAAATTAGATAAGCATCTGACCACACAGTGGCGCGCCAAAGTACTATGGGGCAAGTAGCCTCGCTTCCCCCCCGCCCCCGTGTTATTTGGCATGTGTGACTGCAGCCATGGATGATCAAACTCTTACATTCTTACGTAGGATACTCCTCTTAACTACACCCACTTGGTATGTTTCTGTACCCGGTTATTTAGCCAGTTGCAGAATTCGATTTGGAGTTGGTCCTATGTAGGCTTCACCAACGTCTGCGTAGCTCACTAGAGCATGGAGAAGATAGGTGACCTCTCCCCACCAATGGAGGGAGGGAAGGAGGGAGGGAGGAAAGGGCTAGCGCCACGGCATGCTAGTCTAATGGCCAGGTATTTCTCTGGCAGCATGGAGGAGTAGCGCCCTGTGCCCCAGGCTCCCCCCTGAAAAGTACTGGGTTTGCCACATGGAGGACTCGGACGACGACATGCGTTTGCACACGTTTATTGTACTTAACATCAGACTACCCAAACGGCCCTGCAAGGCCAACTATAGACACACCCACCCAGCACAGCCCTAGTCCCATTGGAGGGTTTGAATTTCCCGCCAACGTGGCTATTGGTTGGGGCTGGGGGGAACTAGGATCCAATGTTCCTATCGTTCAGGGGAGCCAAGCTCCTGTCTTTGCCGCAGACCCCTAGTGGCGGTCCACATACATAACACCCCACACACACACCATGGGGGGGAAAGGAAGAAAGGAAAGGTAAAGTGCTTTTTGGAGGGACGAAGGCAGCTGTGGATTGGCTATGACCCTGTGGTAAATAAAAGTGGCTTATAAAACCAGCTCTTTTCTACTGCTGGCTATGGCCATGCAGTAGAGAAAAGCGGGGTATAAAAACCAACTCTTCTTCCTCCTCCTCCTTCTCCTCCTCCTCTTCTTCTTCTTTCCCAATCCTCCACTTGCACCTGCTGGATGACCATGGGCAAGCTATAGTTCTGGCACAGCTGTTCTTGAAACAGAGCAGTTTCTGTCAGAGCTCTCTCAGCCCCACCTGCCTCACAGCGTGTCTGTTGTGGGGAGGGGAAAGGAAGGAAAAGGCGTTTGTAAGCTGCTCTGAGTCTCCCTTGGGGAGACTCTCCTTCTTCTTCTTCTTCTTCTTCTTCCCCACTCCTCCACTTGCACCTGCTGGATGACCATGGGCAAGCTATAGTTCTGGCACAGCTGTTCTTGAAACAGAGCAGTTTCTGTCAGAGCTCTCTCAGCCCCACCTGCCTCACAGCGTGTCTGTTGTGGGGAGGGGAAAGGAAGGAAAAGGCGTTTGTAAGCTGCTCTGAGACTCCCTTGGGGAGTCTCTTCTTCTTCTTCTTCTTCTTCTTCTTCTTCTTCTTCTTCTTCTTCTTCTTCTTCTTCTCCTTCTCCTTCTCCTTCTCCTTCTCCTTCTCCTTCTCCTTCTCCTTCCCCTTCTCTTTCTACTCCTTCTCCTTCTTCTTCTCCTCTTCCCAAAATACTAGAACTTGAGGGCATCCAGTGAAGCCGATGGGCAGAAAGGTCAGGATGGACAAAAGGCAATACTACTTTCCTCAGAGAGTGGTTAAAATGTGGAGTTTGCTGCCAGAGGATGTCGTGATGGCCACAGGAATAAACAGCTTTAAAAAGGGATTAGACAGATTCATGGAGGATAAGTCTATCAATAGCTACTAGCCATGTTGACTGAGGGGAACCTCCACATTCAGAGGCACTAATCCTCTGAATCCCAGGGCCAGGAAGAAGCAACAACAGGGGACGGCCTCAGCCTCTATGCCCTGTTGCTGGCTGTCCAGAGGAACTGGTTGGCCACTGTGTGAGACAGGAGGATGCTGGACTAGATGGACTATTGATCCAGCAGGGCTCTTCTGATGTTCTTATGAAGGCCTTGGCCTCTCTGACCTGTTGTTGGCTGTCCAGAGAAACTGGTTGGCCACTGTGTGAAATCATAGAATCATAGAGTTGGAAGGGACCTCCAGGGTCATCTAGTCCAACCCCCTGCACAATGCAGGGAATTCACAAATACCTCCCCCTCCACACCTGCAGTCACTGCTGTTCCATGCCCAGAAGATAACAAAAAACCTCCAGGATTGCTTCCTGACCCCAAAGAGGCAATCAGCATTTCTCCAGGCATGTAAGAAAGGGACACAAGAACTAAACACTGAGACGACCCCCCCTGCCCTCCCTCTCATGATCAGCCTACGTTCACAGAATCCGCATTGCTGTCGGATGGCCATCTAGCCTCTGCTTAAAAACCTCCAAAGGAGAGCCCACCACCTCCTGAGGAAGCCTGTTCCACTGAGGAACTGCTCTGTCAGGAAGTTCTTCCTCATGTTTAGCTGAAAATTCTTCTGATTTAATTTCAGCCCATTGGTTCTGGTCCACCCTTCTGGGTGCTGGACTAGATGGACCACTGCTCTGATCCAGGAGGGCTTTTCTTGTCTTTTTTTGGGGTAGTGGTTAAGTCCATGGACTCTAATCTGGGAGAACTGGGTTTGATTACCCGTTCCTTCACATGCAGCTGCTGGATGACCTTGGGCAAGCCATAGTTCTCTCAGAGCTGTTCTCTCAAGAGCAGTTCTCTGAGAGCTCTCTCAGCCACACCTACCTCATAGGGTGTATATTGCGGGGAGAGGAAGGGAAGGAGATTGTAAGCTGCTCTGAGACTCTGAGTGAAGGCAGGGTATAAATCCAATCTCTTCTTCTCTCTCTTCTTTCTTCTTTTTATGAAGGCCTCGGACTATCTGCCCTGTTGTTGGCCCTTCAGAGGAACTGGTTGGCCACTGTGTGAGACAGGAGGCTGGACTAGACAGACCACTAGTCTGATCCAGCAGTGCTCTTCTGATGTTCTTATGAAGGCCTCGGCCTCTCTGCCCTGTTGTTGGCCCTCCAGAGGAACTGGTTGGCCACTGTGTGAGACAGGATGCTGGACTAGATGGACCCTCACTGGTCTGATCCAGCAGGGCTCTTCTGATGTTCTTCCCAAGGGAATGCCGTGGCCTCTCTGCCCTGTTCTTGGCCCTGCAGAGGAACTGGTTGGCCCCTGTGTGAGATGGGAGGCTGGACTAGATGGACCTTCACTGGTCTGATCCAGCAGGGCTCTTCTGATGTCCTTATGAAGGCCTCAGCCTCTATGCCCTGTGGTTGGCCCTCCAGAGGAACTGGTTGGCCACTGTGCAAGACAGGAGGCTGGACTAGGAGGACCACTGGTCCAATCCAGCAGGGATTGTCTTATGTTCTTAAGTTACCAAAGCCAGAGCTTCAATTGGGGGGGGGGGCTCCTTAGCCTAAAAATGGTTGTATAACTTTTGGGAGGTTCTCTCATCTAACACCCCCCCCCCATGAAATGCACCCTAAGACTCCTTGTGACCAAAGTCCACCAGCACGTTGGACAAAGTCTTTGGCATCTCCGCAATAACAAGCATTTTGTTCCACAGATCTTTGCTACCTCCCCCAGAAAGTGGGACCCTGCAAAGCACACAGACCCCGTTTCTTTTACAATTCAATGACCCAGAAATGTGAGGGCTTCGTTTATGGTGGCTGCCATGGGAATGCAAACAACTTTGAAACCCTTGAAGGATGTCAGCAGACCTGTGAACGCAGGTAGAGGTGAGTGTGAGACGGGGGCCCAGGGCTTGCTTCCGCCTGAACCCTGTTTCCCAAAGTGCTGGAGAAAGACTTGAGTCTGGAAATGGAGTCCAAGCCTGAAACCAAACAAGAACATTTTAATCTTCCAGGTCACTCCATTGCTGACCTGAGAGTGGCAGTCCTCAAACAAAGAAGTTTCAAAGGGAAATTTATTTATTTATTCACTCCATATGTATCCTGCCCTCCCCGCAAACAGGCTCAGGGCAGCTTTCATAGTCGGTACCCAGTACCATAAAACCATATACAAAAGTTAAAACATGTTAAGCATTTATAACAAGCAGATAATCAATGTGCTAGTGATAGTGATCGACTTTCAGTAATTCAGATGGCATACTGTATAATATACAAGCAATTCAGTGGTATTTCGGTCTCACACGATGGTATGGCTCAATCTCCAGGCGAGGGCCAACCCATAACCATATATGTTGGTGGTAGTGGTGTGGTGGCTCCTAATTGAAGGCCTGGTGGAAGAGCTCCGTCTTGCAGGGCCTGCAGAACCTTACAATGTGAAATTGCTGAACTCCCGTTAATTCACAAGTTCAGAACAATGGATTCCCCCCCCCCCCCGGGGCTGAATGGGACTGTTATGTCTGGACAGGAGCAATCTTCCACTATGGCTTAACTACTGCTGGAGGAATGCCTGGGCTTGTCTGGCAGGCCACCTAGAGGGAGCATGGAGAGAGAGACGTGTCTGGGCTTGTCTGGGCAGGCCACCTAGTTGTAGCTTGAAGCCCCAGAACAAAGGCAGGAAGGATCCTGGAACCTGCCTGCAGATTGGCCCCTGAGGGCAGCCAGCCAATCTGGAGACTGGAGGCCATTTGAACTCACCAATTGCATGGGGGCTGGGAGTGGCGTAGGTGTATATCATTAGGGCAATTGCCCCATGTAAAGCATTCCTGTCAAGATGCAATAAACTGCTGCTTGTTGAAATCACTCTGCCTTCACCTCTGCCGTGTTAAACCCACTATTTAACAGGGACTTCAGATTCTTAGCTCACGACAGATGCTAATTTCTGGCCCCTCTGCTGTAATCAAGCTGATTATTGCAATATGCACGTGTCATGACCCCAGAGGGTTGCCACCTTCAGCTGCCACCACTCTGGACTTAGGGTCCCTTTGGGAAGGCCCAGAGTACCCTCCCAAGCCCAACCAAAATGCCCCTTTTAAGCTGAGAAACATAGGCACGATGACCAGGCAGAGAACATTAAACAAATGGTTTATTAATGGGGCAAGGAAAACCAGACAAGGTGCTTCAAAATATATGACAGTGTTTAAAGGCAAAAATAAACAAATCTAATGCGGCTACCTATTTCACTTAACTGGTTACTATTTCAAGGCCCACAGCCCTCTTATACCAGGCCTCCTGCCTGTACTCACTCTGTCCCAAGTGAGGGATCTTTCTCTCAGACCAGAATTTCCCCTCAGCTTTTCTCTGTGAGAGGGAAGACCGCAGAAGACAAAAGAACACAGTTTCATGGCCCACAAAGCTTATGTCCCAATCACCTCACATGGTCCCTGTACCCCGATTGGTTACAACCGTTGCTAAGCATCGTGGGGATTGTAGGCTGGCTGCTTTCCACTCCCACACAGGTCTCCTAGGGGCCTAGGCCTCTAGGCCTTGTGGCACAGTCCTGCAAAGATCATGACAATCCCTCAGATCTCCATTTCTGCTCTACTGTGTCTGATCTAGGGAGCTTTGCCTCTCGAAAGCTTCTACCCTGAAACTCTTGTTGATCTCTTAGTTGCTCTGATCTGGACTCAAACCTAACCAGGGGTCTTGTTGTAGAAAAAGAGCTGCCGGAGCTCATTAGCATAACTCATTAGCATAACTTATTTGCATATGCCACGCCCCCTGACATCACCGGAAGTGACAGAAGGCCACACCCCCTGACATCACCGGAAGTGTGTCAGAAGGCCCGGCTACTTACCCTCCTGCTTCATCCTCATTCCCAAACGGAATGAGGATCGAAGCAGAGGGCGGGGTAAAGAAGGGGGCGGGGCTTCACCACGTGACCGCCCCGCCCCCTAGAGGTTCTCTTCCGGAGCTCCGTACCTGAGAGCTCCCCCCCGACTAGAGCCCTGAACCTAACTATAAAAATGATGGACACTCTTGCCTGGCACCAAATGTGCTTCTGATCAAACGGTCTGTGCATTAGACTGACCCCTCCCCAAATGAGGCACAAAGGTTGCGTTTTGTTCAGAATGCCCCTTGCCATTCATAATAAGGGCTTACGCCTAAGGTAATTGCAAACAATAAACGTAGTTATTCTCGGGGAACTTGCCCGAGGCAGCTTACAAAATAAGTTTCGGATGAGAGTGAACAAGCTGGCCTTTCATCCCAACACGATGAGAGTGCCAACATCAATGTTTACTTTCCCCTTCTTCCCAGGTGCAAAAACTAAAGACGTGTGCTAAAGGAGAGTGCAGGGGAGCCTGCCCCAAGTTGGGGAAATTCCTAGAGATTTGCGGGTGGAGCGTGAGGAGGGCAGGGTCCTCAGCAGAATATAATGCTACCGAGTCCACCCTCCAAAGTAGCATCTTGCTGCAGAGGAACTGATGTGTCGCGTACCCTGCCCCAACACTGCCCCAACTCCTGATGGCACTGGTATTTCTGGCCACTGTGTGACACAGAGTGTTGGACTGGATGGGCCTTTGGCCTGATCCAACACTGGCGTCTCTTATGTTCTTATGTTCTTACCCCACATCCTAAAGTAATATACATAAATAATAATTTTAAAAGAAGCAGCAACTGAAACAAAATGCAGGAAGGATCACTTTGGTGTGGTTAAGCGTGCGGACTCTAATCTGATAAGAGCTGTCCTTGAAAAAGAGCAGTTTCTGTCAGAGCTCTCTCAGCCCCACCTACCTCACAGGGTGTCTGTTGTGGGGAGGGGAAAGGAAGGGAAAGGCTTTTGTAAGCCGCTCTGAGACTCCTTCGGGTAGTGAAGGACGGGGTATAAATCCAATCTCCTCTTTTCAGTTCGGAGTACTGGTTAAGTGCACGGACTCTAATCTGGGAGAACCGGGTTTGATTCCCCACTCCTCCACTTGCACCTGCTGGATGACCTTGGGCAAGCCATAGCTCTGATAAGAGCTGTTCTTGAAAAAGGGCAGTTTCTGTCAGAGCTCTCTCGGCCCCACCCGCCTCACAGGGTGTCTGTTGTGGGGAGGGGAAGGGAAAGGAGTTTGTAAGCCACTCTGAGACTCCTCTGGGTAGTGAAGGGGTGGGGTAAAAAATCCAATCTCTTCTCTTCTTCTTCACTGAGGGAAGACCAGTCAAAACGGATGGTGCCACTACTGAGAAGGCTCTCTTCTGGGTGGCCACCCATCTAACCTCAGAAATCGGGGCCACCTGAAACAGGGCAAGATCGTTCCAGTGTCGTAATAGCATTTGAAGAAGAATGGAATGAAATGGAAGACATTTCTCTCTCTCTCTCTCTCATCCTGAGCTGGCAAGGCGGTCAGTCAGATGTGCCCACCCTGAGGACAGCTAACTTTCTTATAACATTCTACCCGCCTTGGTAAGGGGCACTCACCAGACCATTACGAACCTAAAGGGGGTGGGAACAGGTGCAGGTAACACTTTATACAGGGTTAGTTTAGACTGACAAGTGCTACAGTTGCATTTTTCCAACACCCCCTAACCCAGCCTGTGTTGCAGAGCAGTCTGGACCTTGCCCTGTGTCTCCTGTGGTGGTGGAAAAGCCCTCCGTTAGGCAGTGTTTGCCTGACTGGGAGTGTTCTTTCTGGAGAGGACAAGGGCTGCCCCAGCTGCAAAGTTGCTCAAAGCCTGGCTGAAAGTCTTCAGCACTGCAGGCTACAACTTCTTCCAGGCTCTTCGGAGATCCACAAGAGTTGGGGCGGGGGCGGGGCCATGCCCCCCCAGATGTTGATGGTCTGACTCTAAGGGACTAAAGATAAAGGTTTCCCTTGCTCGAAAGCTAGTCGAATCCAACTCTAGGGGGTGGTGCTCGTCTACATTTCCAAGCCGAAGACTTCTCCGTGGTCATGTGGCCAGCATGACTAGACGCCGAGGCGCACGGAACGCTGTTTCCTTCCCACTGAAGCGGGACCTCTTTTTATCTTCTTGCAATTTCTTGCTTTCTAACTTGCTTAACCTACGGAGAAGCCCACCTTGTGGAAGCCCCACTGCCACTGTGCATGTAGAAAAAAGCCCTGCAGGAATGAAAATGTAGGAAACCACCTCTGTGGATACAGGTAATCTATTGTCTCCCATGAAATGGTAAGGTAAACGTTTCCCTTGCTCAAAAGCCAGTCGAATCCGACTCTAGAGGTGTGGTGCTAATCTCCGTTTCCAAGCTGAAGAGCCGGTGCTGTCTGAAGATGTTTCTGTGATCATGTGACTGGCATGACTAGATGCCAATGTGCACGGAACGTTGTTCTCTTCCCACCAGAGCTGCACCTATTTATCTACTTGCAACTTTTTGCTTTCGAACTGCTAGGCTGGCAGGAGCTGGGGCCAGAGACGGGACTCCATCATGTGGCACTCGGGTCTCGAACTGCCGAACTATCAGGCCTTCCGGTCTGCCCTTCAGCATCTTAACCACTGAGCCACCACAGCCCCACCTCTAAAGGACTACTACATTCAAATCTAGCTGTTCCACTGCAGACCAACACAGCTGCCCTCTGAAGCCATCTCTAGATTCTTGCTTCTGTTTTGTGTTTTTGTTTTGTAGCTAACATTCTTGCCTTTCTATAGGGTTTCTAGGACAGCAATGCAGAATCGGACCCCTCTCAACCGGCACGAACACGTTCCTGTGATCTGGACCAGTGCTGTGGGCTCAGAGGCGGCACTCCAGCCCAGACTCCCTCCTACTGCTTATGGGCCTGACCTGGCATTGCTCAATCGAGAGGCATCGGTGCATTGTATTCTCTGTTTGCAGTTATGTTTCTGGCCAAGGCAGGCTGGCAACTCCCCAAAGAAACTGATAAAAACCCCATACAACCAGACAAGATGCTCAGCCTTATGCAGCTGGGACACTCCCCGTTGCGAACTAAAAGAGCAGGTGACTTGAGCTATCTGCTTCCATTGGAAGGACTTTTTTCCAACAATTAAAAATACGACAATGTGTTTTCCCCAAAACATGTAAAACACATCAGCTTCTGAACAAAAGAAACATGCATGAGTGTTTTTAGGGAAACTGAAAATTATTTTCTGGTGAATCACAAAGTAAAAAACGGGGGGGGGGAACTGAAATTGTAGAATGTGAGATATCCATTGAATTAGCTGTTGTAGAATTTCTGGGCTGTATGTCCGTGGTCTTGGCATTGTGGGACCTGACGTTTTGCCAGCAGCTGTGACTGGCATCCTACTGGCGAAATGTCAGGTCCTACTGGCAAAACGTCAGGTCCCACAATGCCAAGACCACGGCCAGACAACCCGGAAAATCTGCAACCGCTAATGAACTCCGGCCATGAAAGCCTTTGACAACATATCCACTGAACATTCCCTAAAATGAACTTCTTTTTTCAAATGGTGGAGGAAGCTATGAGGGGCTTGGCCATACTTGATTTAGTATGAGTTGGTAGTCGGGTTTACGGTGGTGGGGACCCTAGGGGGAAGTGACCATGTTGTGGCAGAATTCTAAGCGAGCCTGGGCCGTTTCTGCATAGCAGCGTGAATTAGCTTATGCCTCCCTGCTTGGTTTTCAATCCCATAAGGCTTTGCATGATGAGCTTTCGCCATATGCCTCTCACCAAGCATATATTCCTTCCAAAAGTGTTGCTTTGCTTATGCCCTTCCACCTACAAGCATTGCTTACATCCCACAAGGCATGGAGCCAACCTCGAAGTCTAAACATTGGGATATCCGGGTATAGGGCACAGCCTTGACCACAGGAGTTTCCTGACCTCTGTAGTTCCTTGACCTCACGGATTATGAGCTGACTCCAAGCAGAGTTCAGTAGGTCCTCTGGGGGCAGGGTCATGTTTTGGTCACTATGCGTGGCCAGCAAGGTATATGTATGGCTTGTTTTCTCGTTATTAGTTGCTACACACCAACCACCCCACGGATATGTTGGGTTCTTGGTGGGTGGCCCGAATGAATTCCTTTACTTATTATTACGGTGCACAGATTTTACATATTGGGGGATGATGGTTCGCTATGCTTTGCTTTGAGATTTATGTATGATTTTGAGGCTCAATAAATAGATCGAGTTTGCAGCATGTGTTCTCTCTCTCCGTCTCTCTTTAATGAAGTCTGGTGGTCTCTGGCCAGTCCCATCCATCCCCAGAGGGAACCCTCGGTGGGTTCTGGGGTTCCAGGCAGGGCCCTGGTCAGTAGAATTCCACAACGCACGTCCTCCCAGAATTCCTTTTGCTGTGGGGAAGGAGGGCAAGGAAATTTGTAGCCGGAGATTTTTGGAGGGCAGACTTTGGAGGGAGCGGACTTTGGAGGGAGCGGTGGCGCACGCAGTTAAACACCTGCTACTAATAACATCTACGAACAGCTGTACAGCTGTTCGATACCCGCCGCGGTCAGATTGAGCACCTGGCCCTTGTCCCAGCTCCCGCTAATCCAGCGGTTCGAAAGCGCCATTAATATCAAATAAGCGCAAGTAGATAAATGGGAACCTACCTTAGATGGTAGTGGGCACCCTCCCCCACTGTGGGGGTCGTTGGAGGGTCAGAGCTTGCCGGACGGCGAAAGCAGTGAGCGGCGAAAATGGCGTCCAGGTACATCGGTGGCGAAACCAGACGGCAGTGGAGAAGGCAGAGCCAGGACGACGCATGAGCGTGGCGGCGCAGGCGGGGCGGAGCCGCGAGGACAGAGCCAAGGCCGTGCCAAGCATGCCGCGCGGCAGAAGGGCCAACCAATCCACCACTGAAAGATTGCCAGGAAGGAGCCAGAAGCCGAAGCTGAAGACGACGGAGCCGACCCGAGAAAGAAACCCCTCCACTGGGTGCCGGTAGGGATGTCCCCACCCCTAAAAAGAATTGTGACCATAGGTTAGGGATAATGAGTAACTGTAGCCGCTCAGAGACCCCTTCGGGGGTTAGAGCGGGGTAGCAAGTCGAAGAAATAAATAAATAAATAAAATTAGGGAACTTGGAGGCATGATGAGAGTCACCAGGGGTCATTTCCTGCAGGAGCGCACAGGAGCGGAGCTCCGGCAGTCAAGAGCCCGGGGGGGCACATGCAACAAGCCCCATCCCCTGGTCCCAGCAGCCCTCAGTCAGAGCAAGAAGCAGCCAGGTAAGTTGCAGTGCCCACCAGCCCCAAACAGTCCAGTGGCACCTTTCTTTAAGACCAAGTTTTATTCAGGTACAAGCTCTCTCTCCTCTGTGAGGACAGATCTGCACGTTCCCAGCCCCCCAATAGCTAGCAATCCAAAGCAGTCCAGTGGCACCTTTAAGACCAAGTTTTATTCAGATACAAGCTCTCCCTCCTCTGCGAGGACAGATCTGCACGTTCCCACCCCCCCCAATAGCTAGCAATCCAAAACAGTCCATTGGCGCCTTTAAGACCAAGTTTTATTCAGGTACAAGCTCTCCCTCCTCTGCAAGGACAGATCTGCACGTCCCCCCCTCCCCCAATAGTTAGCAATCCAAAACAGTCCAGTGGAGCCTGAGAGGTGGGTGTTGCCTTCTGACACACGTCCGGTGATGTCAGGGGGTGTGGCATATGCAAATGAGTTATGCAAACAAGGTATGCTAATGAGCTCCTGCACCTCTTTTTCTACAAAATGATGCCTGGTCATTCCATGGGCAAGACTGCTGGGAGGGAAAGGAGGGAGTGAAGGGGGGGGCCCTCCTGAAACAAGAGCTCTTGCAAGCTCCAGCTGTCACCAAGATGGAAGCATGGCAGGGGATCCAGGAAGTGCATGTGGATGAACAGGACGGGATAGGAGAAGTGCCACAAGACTGGAGGAGGCAGATGTTGTCCCGATTTTTCAAAGAAGGGAGGAGGCCAGCAATGCTCCCTCTACGCTGTGGAGTCCTGTGAGCAAAAATTCTACTTTGCGAGCTCATGGCATTAAAGTTTTGAGCGAGTGATTGGGCTGCTGCATCAGTGAGTTTGCTCTGGAGCCCCATCCTTCCTGAGCTGAGACAAAAGTGTGTGAGCCAGAGACTAATAAACCGTGAGCTGGCTCACACTAACTCAGCTTAGACTAGGGAACACTGGAGGCCAGTCAGCCTGACCTCTGTCCCAGGGAAGATACTGGAGCAGATTTTAAAGGCATCTAAAGAACAATTTGGTGATCCGGGGAAATCAGCCACAGATCTGCCCCAAACCAGTCCTACCAGACCAACCTGGTTTCCTTCTTTGATCAAGTGACGAGTCGTGGGGACGCCATCAACACTGTTTATCTGGATTTCAGTCAAAGACAGGGTTCCCCGTGATGTTCTGATGGGTAAACTGGAGGGCTAAGGACTGGGCTCTAGGATAGTGAGGTGCAGTGTTCCCTCTAAGCTGAGTTAGACCGATTTCATACAAGAGCTGTGCCGCGATCATGCCTCCCTTTGCCCCGCTTCTATTGGTCAATTTCCCACTCGAAGCCGCATGACCGCATTTTGACCTGCGGCTTCGCCCAATTTTCCCCATGGTTTCGTGATCCTCATAAAACAGGTAGTAAAAACCAACTTAATTTTATGGACAAATGGTTTACCTTTTTTCAATATATAGAAACTGAAAAGAAAGCATTTAATGTTCTTCCTGCTAAATGTAAGGATTTTGGTTTTTATTAACCCTTGATACTATACACATACTGTGACGTCCTCCTTATTGGGGAGGACTATTTTCACTTTAAAAGTTCTCTTTATTATGTTTAACTGGGTAGATTCTGCTGCCACCAGGAAATTTTAAGGATTTCCAAACTTTTATGCTTCTACTGTTGCTCTTTTTAGTTTGGTAGACTGAGTTCAAGGCTTACGAGGAACTATGTAGTCCTGAGAAGTATTTCATTTAGAGCTGGTATAAACTTAAAAGAGGATTTATTGAAATAAATATTAAATAAGAGGGTGATACAAGGTAACTAGTAATGTGTAAATGATGTACAATTTCTTTAGTATCACACTCAATCTTTTCCCTCACTGAGAGGGATATTTTCATGTAACTTTGTAACACTTGTTTATCTCAATGCCATATATATTCACTGTTTCTCTCCAAGCTGTTATGACACTCAGACTTTCCTTTAACTTTACTTCACTCAAACTTTACTTTACTTTTCCTATACATTCAGCTTTCTCACTGAACAACCACTTCTAACTGCTTCAACACAGAACTCACTAACTGTCTAACTGAACATCAACTGTCAACATCTAACTGAAACTCCTGACTGACTCACATACTCATCCAGCCAGATTCACTTCCAAAGCCCCTCCCCCTCTTTGTCAACCACCAATCATACCACACTTGCCTCTCTCAACCACTCTAGTCTATCTACCACAGCCATGCAACCAAACTTTTAAAGAGACACACAGAGAGAAACAAGGAACCGTTACACATACTTGTAAAGAGTTTATGCAGTTCCACAGGGCCTGCAAGATGGAGCTCTTCCGCCAGGCTTTCACATAGGGGCCACTGCCGCCACCACCACCAATGGTGGCGATAACATCGGGATTAGGAACCGCCCTTGGAAGTTCCGCCATGAATTGCACGGCACTGACATTGTGGGATTGGCTTGAACTATCTACTGGACAGTATCACCCCAAGGGAAGGATCTAAGGAAATTACTGATGCCATCAAACCCACTCATCTTGTTTACAGAAAGCACTTTAGAGTCTTGTTGGATCAGTCCAGTAGTCCATCTAGTCCTGCATCCTGTCCACTATGACCACAAGGTCTCTTTCACTCTCAGCAACTGCAGACTCCACCAGCATATGGTTACAGTTGTGATTTTCTTTTCTAATGTGCATCACCTTCTACTCACCTACACCAAACCTCATTTCCGCATTGTTGCCCGCTCACCCAATTTTGATAGGTCCTCCTGTAGCTCTTCATAATCCACCTTGGTTTTTTCCATTCTGAATAATTTTGTGTCACCAGCAAACTGGGCCACTGAACTTTTTATCCCAAGTTCCAGATCATTTATGAACAGATTAGATAGCACAGGCCCCAATACAGATCCTTATGGGACCCCACTGCTGGCTCCCCCCCATTAAGAGACGTGTCTATTTATACTTACTCTTTGCCCTCTGTAATTTAACCATTTTTAAAAAATATGGTGACTGGGAC